TATATATAATAGCTAAGTACATTGAATTTAAAATATGCCCATTTCTCTTATATATTATTTATTTATTTACCCGCTTTCATCTCCGAAAGGACATTTGGCGGCGTGACTAATCCTCAGCTGACCTAGAAGATGCACCCACCCAGAAACTTACTAACCCGCACTTATGTATTCCCACTTAAGAGGCGTTGTTGTCCGAGGAATTTCGAGCACGGGTTGGAGGAGTTTTCAACTGTACTCACCGACCAATCAAACTAAGCAATGGTGAGTTTATATATTTATCTTCAAATTTATGAAGAACAAAGCATTCACTCTGAACATTTAAACAGTACCAATAGAGTGTTTTTGAAGGAACAGTGGCCCAGTATTGCTCCCACACTGAATATTTACAAAGAGAACGAACGTCACGTAGTGCGTAAGCTTCCAAACAATCAGCAAATACTAACATTAGAAGCCATTAAAGTTGCCAGTTTTACTATTGCTTCAGAACAAATGGAGGGACTGCACTTGCCAATTTATTAGGTTTTCAGACCCCAGAGAGAGAAAGATGGGGACCTACATGGAAAAGAAGAAGACAAAGGAAGCACATATTGTCTTGCAATTCATCAAAGCGATTCAGATTCCTTACAAAAATGATAGAGAGGGTGATGGAGGGAGGAGAAAGAAGGCTGAAGAGGTCTCTCTCTCTCTCCATATGCAACTTCTTTTTTCTATTTTAAAATAAAGGTAAAGAGATGAAAGCAGAAAAAGAACAAAATAATATAATATTGATGACAGTTGCCTCATAACATCTTGAATATTGCTCTTATTAAAACCCTCAATCATAGAGGGCACATAACAAATTATTTTAAATAGTTCTTTTGGAGGCATGGCATAGGTGCTAGATATTTATATATATAATATTGAAGATTTTCAGTATTAAATTACAAAATATGTAATATGAGTATTTATATTTATTTAACTATTAAAGTTTTATTTGGGACGACTTTTTTAATTTTTTACTAAAATATTGCTTTAAAAAAATAGTAAAAAAATAGTTCTAAACAAGGCCTAAGCTATTTAAAACTATTCCCACATTGGCTTTACATAAATCAGAAAATATATGAAAAGTGCACTAATTTAGTGTAGTCTAGATTCGCACTCCTATGATAAGGTTCTACTTCAAGTGCATAACAAGTGCTTTGTGCTAGAAACTTTGATGAGATTGCTTATTCATTTGTAATAGGTTCAAAATAAGAATTATTTTTGTAAATTTAGCTTCGTTTGGTGATGCTTTCTTATTGCTCTAAAAAGAAGATTTTTAATATAAAAAATAAATTTTTATATAAATAATTACTTTTAAAAAGCAGTAAAAAAACCGTCTCAAATGAAACCTTAGTGTTACATATATTTATACTTTATTAACATTACGGAAAAAAAAAGAGTTTAGAAATAAGGAAAATGGAACTTGGCCAAGCTAAAAAATATTCACTATATAATTTGATTTTTATAAGAGTGTCATTCTACAACTACACAATACTGGAAATATAAAGTTTGGATTGATGTTATGATCTTTATTTAGTGTGGAGGAATATTAAGAGTTGCGGGAATTAGTGTCAATCAATCTTTGATAAAGGTGGTCAAGCTGATAATAGTTGGTCAGTTGGTGGCGTCAGTTAATGATAAGATGATTATAGACACATCAGTATGTGGTTGATAATATGCTACATTGATCGAGCAACAATGGATGTCGATAGTTACTAGTGTTGATCGGAGAACAAGCAAATAGTGATGACAACTGTCATCATTGGTTGGTGGGAAGAGCTTCAGAATTTTTTCAAACTTTAGAATTTTTTACTATCTAATTTTCCTTTAAGAGAAGAAAGGCGGCGTATTTATAGATTATTTACTACGATATTTTGTTATTTTGCCAAATTTTCAAATATTTCATCGCAAGACATATTGACTCCCTTAACTATTTAATATTTTATGAGCAGTTGAGAGCTTGAGGCTTCTTTTGAAACTGCTTTCTAAAACAATTTTTTAAATACAAATTTACTTTAATCATAAATTTTATACTAAAAAACTGCTTAAGAAAACAGTAAGAAAGTTATGCAAAACGAAGCCTTAAGAATATGAAAATTGAATAATCTTGAGCTTATTAGACTCATCTTGCCGATGTATATGTATGTTTGTTAAAAATGAAGTTTAGATGATCCTGAATTTGATTATAGAAGTTTCAAATTTCAAATACATATGTCATGATCCTATTTTTTATCAAATAATTTTCTCATAATGCATCACAAGTCAATATTGTTAGTGTATTATTAGATCTAAGGAAAAATCTTTACACCAAGAAAATATCATTCGGAGTAAGAGAAGAAAAGGAGAAAGCCGAAAAGGAGCTGAGTGGAATCTAAGAGCACCACTAAGGAGAGTTTGGGGGATTTTGAGCTTTTTGGTGGGTTTGTGAAGGTCCATAAAGATGATAAAGACAGGATTAAATGCCCTACGAACAAGTGCTGAAAGCATATTAAAAATGTCTCTTCTCATGCCCAAATGGTTCTAGCCAAGCCATGCTTTGTGTCCATGAGAAATCACGACCCTTCAAGAATTTTAATAGAATTTTGCAAATTTATTATTATAACTTTTTATTAAGAATAATATGTTGCTAATACAAAATATGATGGATATATATTTATCATTTAATTTAGATGATATATATTACATAAATGACATGGTGAAAATATACTGACTTTAATGATGAGAAGAACATTTTCCGTATTTTGAAAATCTCATAATTATGTTAAGACTTCATTTGAGACAATTTTCTTATTGCTTTATAAAACAGCTTTTAGTATAAAATTTATTGAATTGAGAATTTTTCTACTTAAAAACTACTTTAAAAAGCTATCACAAATAAACCTTAGTATAAACAATAATGAAAAAGTATTTACAATATTAAAGCTTCTTTCGGGACGACTTTCTTCCTGTTTCGTAAAGCGGCTTTCTTCGAAGCAGGAAGAAAGCCGTCCTAAACGAAGCCTAAATTTTAGAGGTGAGGATTAAAAGAGAATCATTTTGTCAAAATTATGAATTCAAATAACACACTTAGGCTTCTTTTGGGACAGTTTTTTTACTGCTTCTTAAAGCAGCTTTCGAGTACAAAAATTTTAAGTTTTGTATTAAAAAGTTGTTTTAAGAAGCAATAAAAAAATAGTCCCAAACCAAACCTTAGAGTAATCATTAACTTCCGTGGGATGAATAATATTATAAAGTGAAAGGATGTTACTGCCTCTACTTGCAAGTAGTAATCAGTGGGTAAAAATATCATTTCATTTAATTCTTCTTTAATATTTACTGGAGGGCTCATTTAAAGCTTGTAAATAATTATATATATATATATGAAAACCTTTGCTTTTCTTCTTTCTTTCTTTCATTCTTTCATTGTCGCTGCACTCGACATCAATCAATTTAAGTGCCTGGAGAATGGTTGATGACCGCAGTTTCAGATAGACACTTTTTTTAATTCTTCTTTATTTTTACTTTTTCTTTTAAGAAAATTATATTTCTTTCTTTTAAAAGAACAACACTTGGGAAAATATCCATGGCACGGGCTTATGAACAAGGTTGTGAAAATTATATCGGATATAAGAAGAGGTCTAAGATTTAATGATTTGATTGAGATTGAAGCATATAATATAATAAATATTTAAATTATTTAAATATTATGCAAATGAAATAATAATAGTATAATAATCATACAATAATTATAAATTTGTAGCTAAAAAAATCGTACAAAGCACCAGTTTGTATAATTTTAAATTTAAATATATTAGATTTTTAAATTTGATTCATATTTAATATAAATTTATAAATAGAATATAAATTATGATTAGTTTATGTTATATACTTAGATTTAATTTATTCTATAGTTATATCAAAATTATATTAATAAATTATTTATAAAAAATATTTTATTATTAATAAATAGATAAAAATTTTTTATAGTGTATAAAATACATAAATATTAACTAAAAATAAATGTTATTTCACATTATAAAAAATTAATTAAAAAATATGTTTTGAAACTGTTTATGTTATAAGCTTTTTAAGCTCAAGGTGTCTATTTAATCCAACA